CTCAGCCCCTGCGGGAGGAGGGGAAGGTGGCACGGATGTGGGCTCTGGTCAAGTTAAAGTGTGGGGCCCTCTGTTGTTCTTGGGAAGAACGATGTTTTCGCAGGAATTGCCCCCAGTCCCAGACTTTTCCTGAGGGCACTGCTCTGAATTGCTACCCCTGCCCCTTAACCCCACCCTGCCTCCCCAAAGCAGGACTGGGTGTTCCCTGCTACCCCCTTCCCATATGCACCAGGGTCTCAGACTAGGGTCTGACCCCCCCACTTCTAACACCCACCTCCCCAAACCATGACCCAGACCCTCTCTACTCTTGAAGGTCCCTTTCACTCTGCCTCAAGCCACAAGACACCACCACACACCCACCCCCCCACCCAAGGACAGTCTGATGTTCCCGGGTGGCTGCAGAGCCAGTGACACTCACAGGAACAGGTACACCAGCACCAGGGAGGACCTGCCACCTCCCTTTCAATGTCCATAGCTTAGCCTCACCGCTGAGTTTATATCCCACCCAGGTCCTTCCTCCCTTCAGCAGAGCTGAGCTCAGCAACTTGTCCTTTGTAGCTCTTGTGCTGTCCAAGATGATGCTTCCATTTCCCCTTCCCAAGGCAAGGAATGGGGGGTTGTCCTCTCCCTCCATGGAGAAACCTCAGAGAGTCCCACAGGCACAGGGGCAAGGTGGCACCTCCAGTTCCTTCCCCCCCACCACCTTTGGGCATGGTCGTACATCTCCTCTGTCCCATCTTCATCCCAGCCCTGTGGAAGCCAACGAGGCCAAGAGGACAGTCTGGGGCCATGACACAGAGCTGAGCTTAACTGAGCAAGTCCTACACGGAGGTAGCTTTCCCCAGGGATGGGGATATCAGAGACCCTCAAAAGGTGTGAGAGCCCCTCCCAAGACAAAGATTGCCACAGATGGGAAATTTCGGTGTCAGCACCACAGATTGCTGCATGCTGCGGCTGGTTCAGTTGGATATGGGGTGGATGACTGTGGATGTCCCCTTCATGCTACCTCTAAGCCACTTTACAGAGCAGCCTGGGGGGCAGGGGATGATACCCGCACCCCCATCCCAGCTTCCCTGCGCAGGGAGCGTGGGGCCAGCAGGACGGTGGTGCTCTACATAAGCTGCCAAAATTAGAGCACCTCCTCAGGGAGCTGCAAGCTGTGGGCATCCAATCTCAGCATACCAAAAAAAAATCAAAATAAAAAGTAATAAGATGGGAACCCCAGGGGAAATGTAGGGGAGACATGGCTCCATGTGGCAAAGAGCCTCCCAGTGCACATGTCAGATCATGGGACCTTAGAAAAGGGGGTCAGGGCAGGGATCAAGGTCCCTCCGTTCCACATTCCCACCATGAGTCTGGACACAGACACTTTCCAGGCACACAGGGAAGACCTCCCTGCAGGGCTAAATCCCTGTGCTCGGTTTCCCCAGGCCTCGCACACACCCTTTCACTCCCACCCTCTCCCTGGTTACAACTTTTGAGGAAGAAACCATTGAATCCACTTCTCCTCCCTCCTCCCATGTATTTTTCCAAGTCTCTAAGACTCCTAGCCTTCCCCCAAAGCAAGAACATCTCCAGAGTATCTCCCATATCCCTTTGGAGGGTCCCTGCAGGTTTTATTTTTAGATGCCTTTGAATAGCGATGCTTTCTTACACTGATTTGGGGCAGCAGGGGGGGAGTCATTCACCTTCAGGCCTTACATCACCGCAGGGATGTGAAGCTGGTATGATTGATCCGCTGCCTCTGCACTAAGTACTGGGATTGCTCCCGTGGCTGGCCACTGCTCCTGAACCAGAAACGAACCTCGGTGAGTGCTTCAGCCGCAAAGGCAGCTCCCAGGGCTCCCCGGCATCCTGCAGCACCTCCCAGCCCTGGCCTAGGAGATCATCTGGGTGGGAAAGGGGGACACAGGCAGAGGATCCTTAGTGATGTCTCCAAAAGACATACAAACACGATTCAAAGCTACCTCATATAGAGCATGGTGCCAGGAAGCAGAACAGGTCAGACCCAACCACGTTCAAACCAGAAGGTGCCCGATGCTAACCCAGGCATCCTGCAGCACCTCCCAGCCCTGGCCTAGGAGATCATCTGGGTGGGAAAGGGGGACACAGGCAGAGGATCCTTAGTGATGTCTCCAAAAGACATACAAACACGATTCAAAGCTACCTCATATAGAGCATGGTGCCAGGAAGCAGAACAGGTCAGACCCAACCACGTTCAAACCAGAAGGTGCCCGATGCTAAAGGTGAGTACAGCCTGCTTCTCGTGCTGTGAGACATCTCTTTCTTCTGGGGTGCCAGGGATGGGGTGGGGGCCATTTGGTACCCAATTCTGCCCTGGGGTGGAGGTGGCTGATCCATCATCAGAGGGGGTGCATGGGACAGAGACCCCGTACCCCTGCAGATCTGCTGGGGCAGGGGAACAGCGTGGAAAGGAGTTCCCAGGGTGACACACACACACGCTGCCTTGTGGATCCCCTCCCTGGAGGGAGAAATCTTGCTCTCGGTGACTCGTTACAGGGGTTTGCACAAGGCTGTTACAGCTGGTAATTGGTGCCCAGGTCTGCTAATTGCATTCTGCCTGTTACCTAACCCGTGACTCATTCCTCTGAGCAGGCAGCCGTCCCCCCCAGAGGTACAAAGAAGGTGGGCTGGGGTTGTGCAGGGCAGCGGGGAGGTCATTTCTGTTTGCCTTAGAACCTTCTGCCCTGCTTCTCACCCGTGTCCAGAACGAGTCGAAGCTGGATTTTGAAAGCCTCAAGGGAGACAAGATGGATAAAGAGAGAGCCTGGAAGAAGCCTGGGAGGAGGCGAGCAGTGCCGACTGCTGCTTGGAGAGCTGGGCAATGCCAACCTGCCTCCAGCAACCCTCTTTTGGTTCCCTTTCCCTCCGGCTGACAACACGCCCAGGGAGGTGCTGGGGGACATCAGTTTATTTGAGGGGTGGGGGGGCTAGCAAGCACCAAGCTGGGAGCACAGCCTGACTACCCAAAATGGGGGTCCTTGCTCTTAACCCACCCTCAGCCTAGGCCATAGGGCTGGGGCTGGGAACCAGCCCCAGCAAGGGCAGAACGAGTTGCCAACCCCTGAACCAGTGCCTCACGCAGAATGTTTTCCTTGGGTACTCAAGCGCTACTTTTTTTTTTTCCCTCTGCAAAGATGCAAACTCGAATCTCCAAATCCATGCCAGGGGAGAGGAGAGCTTGCTTTGGGACTTGTCTTCTCATCAGTTCAACAAGAGTCCCACTTTGTTTGCCTGCAGGGCAAGCACCCTCCCAGGGGACTGGCTGTGCCGGGATGCTCAGGCTGCAGCCCCTGGAGTGGATGTCATTTGGGAGCTCTCATCTGGAGCCATGTGTTACACCAGTTCCCCCTTCCCTGGGATGAGAGCTGCATTGCTCCAGGGCAGAGCTGGGACTTTGCTCTACATTTTAGTGACTCCAGGTTAAAATCTTTTCATTTTCTTTCCTCCCCCTTCACTCTCGTCCTCATAAAAGACACAGGCAACTGGTTTAGAGCCTGAAATAACACCTCACAGGGGACCCGTGAAGATCAGCAAGTTAATCTTTCCTCAGAGCTTCAAAAGTGCATGGCACTACCAGTGCCCTAATCGCAGGGGTGAGGAGGACACAGAGAGGACTTGATTCTGGTGCTGCTTGCCCATCTTCTCCCATTGACCTCAGGATCAGTGGGCTCAGCTTTCCGCCTGGCCTCATGCCCGACTGAGCCTCCCAGAGCCACAGACTCCATTTTCCTCTTGCATGCCCCCCAGGCAAGACCATCTACCACTACCTCTCCATGGGGTGGGCATCCTGGCACCCCTTTCCCATAGCAGGGCTGATAATGGTGCTGGTTAGGAGTCAGGACCATGCTAGGGTGGGTGAGCATGGCTGCTGCTACCCAAACCCTCCATCTTCCCTCTGACAGAGTCTGAACCCACACTCAGCCCCATGTCAGGGTGAGAACAGCCCCCATGGTAGGGGCACTGTCCCCACTCTCCCGGCAGCACGGGTGGGCTCACTCTCACTGTTGTCCCCCAGGAAGATGAGGTATCTGGCTTGTCGCCTCACAATAACCAGGGCACAGAGGGATGCAAAGCTCTAGGGACCTCAGCCAGACACATTAAGGGAGCTTTTCCCTGGCTTTCCTAA